AACGTTTTCGATTTTCTTTCTTTTTCTGTTCACAGTCATCCTCGATATTTTCGATCGGTTCAAAAACGTGTCTGTCGAGAACAAACAAATAATTCTACAAATAATTCATTTTTATAAATCCTTTTTAATTCAATCGTAACATATATGAAATAGATTCGGAAAATTGAAATGTACTCGAACCGAAATCGACGAGTTTGTTCCTAATCATTTTTCGAGTTCATCAGCGAAGCATTTTTCCTGTTTACGTGAAAATTTGTCGAAAAATGTGCAGGTTGCGGGTGGACACATTTCAGAGACGGATACTTCAGTTTCTAACTGACAGCTGTGAAGTGTTCGCGCGTTGTTTGCAGATGTAACTGACTCTACATATTTTTTTTTTTTTGTTTCTAACGCGGCAAAATAACAGCATATTTGTGTTTGCAACGCGCAGTAATTTTTTCTTACATCTATATATATAAATGTATCCGCGATTTTTATTGCGGGCCGTTTTTACCTCCGAGTCTCCCTCTCTCTCTCTCTCTCTCTCTCTCTCTCTCTCTCTCTATCTCAGCGTGGATTTATTTCGTCATTAAAACTGGGTAAAGCGGATACATACGTAACGTAAAAAAGAGAAATTCGAAATAACGGTTTGTTTAAATTACAGTCGACGCGCGAGAAGAAAAATGACCGCGGTTCTAAGATACTTTAACAGTTTTTAAAACTTTTGACAGATTTTATTCGGGCGTATGCGAAATATTTCATTGTGTATTTTATATTGCACCAAAACTCGGCCCATTCCCATCGCCGAGTCGTAACACGCTTGGCTATAAAAAAATTCAATATTCCGCGGAAATGTGTAGTTGCCGGAGAGAACGAAAGAAGAAAATAAGATTCAAGTTCTAAAATACACTCCGCGTGGGAACGAGGAGCGGCGGTTGTAGCGCTAGGTCAGCGATAATAAATAATTTCGCAACTACGGCACGATTTTATTACGACTGGTGCATTTAAAACTTTCTTTTCTTTTTGTGTTTGCAAATGCGCCCGAGTGCTATTAGTATCGTTACCGCGAAGCATACTCCTTTTCTTCTAATTATAATTTATCAACAAAGCCTACAACGTTAGCCGTTAAAAAATGACGTTGCAATCGATGCTTGCTAGTTGAAAAGTCGAGTTAGAAACGTCCGATAGTCGACGCAAGTCGTTCCGTTCCTAATTACGTTGAGCTGCGTATAAATTTTCATTTTAATTAAATATTTTAAATTCCTCCCTGTATTTATTCGTACAGAGAAACGACAAAGATATAAAGTCATTAATGAAATGTAATTTTTGCTCGTGAAAATTTAAATAGGGTATGTCAACTTCATTCCTCTTGTAGTCATCCAAGAATTAATTAATTTGTTCGAAATGAATAATTTCGTGGCCCGGTTTTTACGCTACAAATTGTTGGACCGACCTGTATTACAACTCCGCATTATCTTAACACTTTATCTACCGGGCTATTTAGAAGCAGACTTTAATTTCAAAAAGAATTTTCTACAGTAGCATATGCCAATCTAGACTGACAATAATTTCTCCATACTGTTACTAGGTATATTGAAAGCCAAGTCTGTTACTAAACACTGAACATTGTAAGTAGACAAGCATCGACACAGTAAATAAATTCGAATAACTAAATACTGCAATTAAAAAGCCTATAAATAATTTCCCGGTAAATAAAGTGTTAAAACGTCCCACGGTTCCTTCGAATTCGTAGCACGCGCTCGAACCGCCTCGAGTCTTTTTATATCCATTACTATTATTCAACGATGTATACAGGTGTCGCAGCCTTCCTTATCCACTCGGCTGTGCGCACCGACACGCGCGTAATTACACGCGACAATGATAAAACGAACAGTGTGACGCATTCTCGTGAACGCTAGTGTATCACGTTTTATCCTCTCGGGCCTGAAACGAAGAAACGGACAAGCGATACGAATGCGCCGGGGAAAGCTGCAACAAGCTTTAAACATTCGAACGATTTATAAATACGACCGAATAAATCCCCGAGCCTGGTCCTCGAAACTGAGGTAAACTTAATTTTCATTTTATTTCACGTATTTATCTAATTTGTAATAATACAATGCAGGCAAAAATGAAGGTGCATAAGCGCAGCTTATTTTCAGATTAAATTACTTACGATTACTTGCTTACTTGCTTTGACGAAGGCCATCGGATAGTCGTTTGGTACTTTCGATAACCGTGCAACCGGCCATTCCTGTGTTAATTAATGATAAGATTACGAAAGGTTCGGATACGTTTAAAACAGTCATGTGTATCACGGTTTCGGGAAGAGACGCTTAATTTACAAAGAAACAGCTCGGGAGCTCCTTATTATCCGCAGGAAAATAATTAATTAGCGATGCTCTCTCGTGTCGGCTGTACAGCTGGTGCAATCATTCTTCGGCTGACTCAGCTGCTACGTGGCTGAAAGCGTTGCGGAGAAAAACATCGGTCGCATTAAAGATAGAGGGGAAGAAGACACCAGGCAAACGGTTATTGTTTGTGGCATCAATCTGAAACAATTACTTTCTCTTAACTTTTCGCAAAACCGTCTACATTCATTCACTGATTCGTGCTTACGTATCACTGGTTTGTTGTCTAACAGCTTCTATACAAATATATTTAGAGCCAGAGATTTACTTGCGGCTTGCAATGCTATAATAATTAATTAAGTTTCCACTTCGTGACTTGAGACTTCCAATAGAAAAAGAATTATTGAGACTTGCAGTCATTTACTAGGGACTTGCAATAGTACGATAATTAGCAACGATTGTGCTCCGTGATTTGAAGCTTTCATTGGGGAAAGAATTTTTATGACTTGCAGTCATTTACTAGGGACTTGCAATAGTACGATAATTAGCAACGATTGTGCTCCGTGACTTGAGACTTCCAATAGAAAAAGAATTATTGAGACTTGCAGTCATTTACTAGGGACTTGCAATAGTACAATAATTAGCAACGATTGTGCTCCGTGATTTGAAGCTTTCATTGGGGAAAGAATTTTTATGACTTGCAGTCATTTACTAGGGACTTGCAGTGATAAAAGTGGATTTGAAATAATCTCTCGTTAGTCTGTAAAATATACACGGTGATCGTTAATTACGGTGTGTATGACGTTCGGGCGTGATAAAACATCATGCATATAAAAAATAGCAAAAGGTCTATCGTAGAAACAAAACTCAGACACCGTGAACGGAAGTGGTGTGTGTATGTGTGTGTATATTCTTTTATCGTTATGATCCTTCCGCAGTTTCCTCTTTGTCTCCCTTCGTCGCGAATCACAACAGCCATGTTTCGTCCTCCGAAGTGCACAGACATAATATGCATAAAACATGATACGGTCACGCATACATCACACCAGAATTCCTTGAACATTGCCATCAAGAGAACCTCGTTGTCGGAGATCGGTAAAATTTGATTCGAATAATATATAACCATTTGGAACACTCTATGGCGATTCCAGATAAACTTTGTATTATTCGCGCAATGGAAAATTTAATTTATTTTATAATTCCGAACTGTTATTCGAGAACTGTTTATTATTTAATTGCTGTACGAAATTTTTGTTTAGATAAGAATCAGGTTTTATCTTTATACGTCTCTGTTGTTTAACTTTTTAATGATACTGTACCACCGAGGTAAAGCTTCTTCAAGTCCAAGTGCGCACGCGCACCACAGGCATAAGCACACTCTGTGTGTATTCTTAAAGCGGAAAAGATTAACAAGCAAAAACGACCGGTGAGAGCGTATTGAATTCTGCACATCCCCGGACAAAAATCGACGAACGCGCATTAATAACAATAATTGGAATTGTTGCTTGGTATAAAATTATCGGTCAATTAATGTCATCGCGAACATTCTACTCATCTTTATTAATAGACGTTTCGACCGTGAGGTTTTCTGGTGCGAAACTTATTATTTTTTTTTACGAGCACAACTGTTTGAGGCATACTATGCAAAATAAAAAGAAAACTCAAGCTGCACAAAATTACAATTTTATTAATTATTCAGTTTTGAACTTACAAGGAAAGGTCGATAATTGATACGCGAGGAAAAATTTGTTGAGAAAGAACATCGAACAACGCGCTTGTTTGTTATGATTAATTTATCTCATAATTTATTAATATTTATATGAGATAATTAATGTACCCCATAATCCCAGCATGTTAATACACTCGAAGTCGAAGACCTTTGTTTTGTTTTAACGAGAGTCGAAGCGATCGGGAAAAAACGCATTCACCGGCGATCGAAGAATTTCATTATCTCCGCGGGGTTATCACGGGTCACCGAATAGCCCTATCGTCGTTCATTCAGGGAGCCATTTAATTACCAGAATTCCATTCAGCTTGCGCGGTGCCACTTGGTTCGCCGATTTACCATCGTTATTATTCTGTTTCTACACGCGGTGTGTATTCCTCGTGTCTTCGTGCGTTGTCCCTACACGTAAACACGGCTGGCAGAGGACAGACAGATGGAAGAAGGGCGAACGAGAATCGAACAGAGGGGGGTAGAGAGAAATGCCGTGGGATCGGAATTTCTCGAGAACATTATTATCATTTGGAATTACGCGAGCGATTCGATTCGCTGGTAATGCAGTCGCATAATTTCCCGGGGTGTACAGCTGCGCGTTTATGTACCCGGCCGTGACGCGTGCTCGGTATTCAACCGACTTAAAAATAAAGGTATAGAAATTTATTAAACGAAACACCCCACTCGTCGTCACGGTCGAAGCTGAATAGTGGGGACGCGCGCGGATCTCGGCTACGTTCTTATCGATGTTTATGTTCCCGGGACGATAACGAGCCTCAGATCGAACGGTCGATAACTCACGGCCATTTAAATTCGACTCGATTTCGGACGATCGAACGTTATTTCTAGAAAAGCGATATATAAATGCAACCTACGTTTTCAAACGTTTGGGTATAGTTCTTATATACAATCCGAACAAACATATCAAGTCCTCTTAGTGTTCGTTACAAGATACACCGAAGAGAATAAGTTTCCAGGGGACATTGGCACGTGTACATTTAATTTGATCGTTATTTTAAATTGTCGTACGTGAAAGTGACGACAACAATGGCGAATTAATATTTATAACGGGTTACGAGTTCATCAGGTGTAGAACAAACATAGGTATCTAGTGTTCGATGATAGTCCACCAGAAATTTCCCAAGCATTCTCGTTCTATGCTCAGAGAAAATATTATTTCTATTTTTGTTTTGTTTTAACGAGGTTATTAACGATCTCTAAATACTTAGAGGATTCACAACGTCTTGGAGTGTACACGGGGACTGTGTCGAGTGTGCAGCTTTTAAAGTGGATACACATCACGATACTGAAAGTTATTTATAATGCGCCGTTGGTCGTGGCCGAGGCTCAGACGCGAATTGTATATGATGGAATCGTGTGTATGATAGCTACCACTCGGGTACAGTGCGGTCGAAAAGTTGCCCGATTAGTTCGCCATTGGTTTCTCCTTCTCGGCCACGTTGCCCGACCACTGTTATCATTCGCGTTACTAATCCACCTTCCCTTTATTCCCTTTATTCTCACTTCATCTTCCCACTTCTCTGTCGTTAACCTCCTCGTGTTCGACGCTTTATTGCCGTGCTCGAGCGCATTATTTCACGTCCGCTAATTTTACTAACGAACCCGTAATCTCGCCGATGTTGTTTCCACTTTTCAATCGGTGTTACCAAATATAATACCAGCGAAATTCTTATCTAGATAAAAATGTTAATCAATCGCACGTCATTCGTTCGGTATTCGCAATGACCGAATAAAAGTATTTCGACAAACCGAGGTGTCGCGAAGAAATTTTTGACGGACTTGTACGCAGCCGGAATGAATCGCACGAGGAGAGCTCGGCGATGTAACGATTTCGAAATCGAGAGGCATCTCAACTGGACAATAAGGAGACAACATTTTTAGACATCTGAGATATGCGTACGAATTATTTCATTTCTATTCAATTTATGACTTATGTAATTATTTTCTATGAAGTAAAAAGAACGATCAGTATTTGAAAGAATTTCTAGGACTTGCGAAGATTTATTAGAGACTTGCAGTTAATAACGAATTACAATTTTTAGACATCTGAGATATGCGTACGAATTATTTCATTTCTATTCATTTTATGACTTATGTAATTATTTTCTATGAAGTAAAAAGAACGTTCAGTATTTGAAAGAATTTCTAGGACTTGCGACGATTTATTAGAGACTTGCAATTATGAACGAATTACAACTTTTAGACATCTGAGATATGCGTACGAATTATTTCATTTCTATTCAATTTATGACTTATGTAATTATTTTCTATGAAGTAAAAAGAACGTTTAGTATTTGAAAGAATTTCTCGGACTTGCGACGATTTATTAGAGACTTGCAGTTAAGAACGAATTACTAGAATTTTTGGACCTTTTTGTTTTTCAACAAGCGTATATTTCGCTTCTCCAATTTTTTTTTAAATTTTGTTTCGTAGTTACGGTTCGAAAATAAATGTTATGCGCGTGCTATATCCTAAATTCCAATTCGCGGGGATGCATTTACAAAATTGTGCGAAGCTGGTTGGAACGGCAACGAAAACATTTGGCCCCTATCAATTCGAACAGCCTCGTAATATTTAATTATTATTCCGCGGCGATCCGAAATAATTCATCGATAATATGCATTGTGAAACTCTTCAATTTGAAAGGCAAATGCATATTTAATCGACAAATGAATTCGGTGAATGCAGTATGCACGATAACGTTTCATTATTTAATATTATTGTAGGAGAGCCTCTCTCATCATCGGATGCAGCGGTTATCAATATCGTGTCCCTAATAACGAATAATAAACGTTACCGTAAAGTTACAAGTGAATAATTCATTACGAAATAATTTCGTATAACAAACACTGCTGTTTCGGTTGCATCACAATTACTTTGTTGTTGGACTAATTTCTCCGATAAATTTTAATTTCGCCGTATATTTCACGTTTCATTTTACAAAATGGAAAGCCGTATTAAAAAAGTTCAGCAGCGTGCACTAGCCGAATCAATCGAGTTCCACGTACCCAAAGTATGAAATTTCAATTTACAAATAACACGATATCCGATGTACCTTTTTAATTTGGGCAAATTTAATATTTCACTTTATTTCCGCCTATGGAATACTTCGTATTTTTCCAAAATGTTTTCCGGCTACAAAAAGTTTCGATTTTCCGCATTTTAACGCCGCATTGTAACTAAAAACGTGGCATTCCCAATTCGTGAAAATGGAGATGGCTTATCATTGTGTCTCGTTTCGGAGCCACTCGGTTTATCGTCACATTGATTGCGCCCCGCTGAGTGCAACGTCGACGAGCCAAATGTCGAATCGATGGTCAATTTCTATTACGAACCTCGAATATATGTATGAACGACCCATTGCACCTTGCAACGAGGTTAGAGGACCGTCAGGTCAAATCGATAATTCGTTTAATCCTCCCTCTCTCACCCTCGTTATAAAAAAGAGAAGAAAACACGAAAAATACATATAAATACGTGTCTCTTTGTTCGCTAACAAGCTCGAAAATTCTGCGAGAAGATCCATTATTTTCGATTCAGAAATGAATATTTTTTGTTAGTTTAAATTCGGATTACTTCAAGCAAAGACTACGTTAAAATACGATAGGTTTATATAAAAATGAGAAATTTTAAATTAAATTTAGATGAAATTCTTTTTCAATTTCTACTCTCCTATAGAAAATTATATTCTTCTTTTTTTTCTATTCGTTATCTGTTCGTAGTCGATGCGGTTGGTCGATAACGCTATCTTCTTTACGAATGACAACAGCGATATCGAATAGCCACTTGATCTGATGAACTGTGCAACTCGACGTAGATAGAGTGTAAGGCACTGTTCAGTTATTCAATTGCACAGATTGCTAGATAACATGTAAGCTAGTCGTTTCTAATAATAGTTTCCTGATACTAGTTCTTAGATTGTTATTGTTAATTTAAAACCTCCTGTAATCCGGCAAAATTCTCCTCCCAATCGATGAAAGATATTTTGTTGCGAATAAGATCAAAGGTTAATCCGATTGCAGCGTGAGATTAGATTTTATAGAGAAGATTTACGTCGGGTACACCTTCATTTCCCGTCTACTCGCTCGCTTCATTAAATCGGTGCATTTTCTCTATCTTCCTATCTCTCGCGAACAGGAGCGGTCGAAGCAAGTATTAGCGTCCGCTAAGTCTTCGCTAAGTTCCTAACTAAGCTTGCCCTTATCAAATATTGTAATTCTGTTATACAGTGGCGGAGCAACTCTCCCTCTACGAAACCTCTTACCGAAATAATCGGGTAAACGTTTACAGAAACTGTAATCTCCTTTAATTCGAAGGTAGTTTTAAAATAGACCGAACACTCGATAGGGAACGAAACGGTACAAAGTGTTGCTCTATCTCGGAGCAATAAAAATTTCAACGACCTCGTAAAAGTTCAGCTAGTGTTCCGAGAAGTAAAAGAATTAATGGAACTTGGGATTTCTAAGAGGGGAAGGATTATCAGCGACACGTATAGTTCTTGACTTACGGCTTGCAATAATTAAACGTTTACTGAAACTTCTTACGAACTTGCAACCGTACGATAATTAGTGACACTTGTACTTTTTTGTTCGAGGTTTGGAATAGTGAAAGCATTTTTGTGACTTGCAGGGGTTTACTAGGGACTTGCAATGGGAAAAGAATTAGCGATATCTGTAATTCTTTCTCCAAAGTTAATATTACAGAAAGAATTGTTGAGACTTGCAGCAGTTTACTAGGGACTTGCAATAGGAAAAGAATGAGCGATATCTGTAGCTCTTTGTCCACAGCTAATATTATAGAAAGAATTTTTGAGACTTGCAACAGTTTACTAGGGGCTTGCAATGAGAAAAGAATTAG